AAGAACATATTAAGCAGTGAACAAGCCTGAATGCACTGTGGTGGTTTTTTTCTTTCGTTTCCAATGTGCTTGCAGTCAGAGACTCTGGTTTTCCACCCACACATAAAGTCAGGTGGGTCAGCTTGTATATTCAGACTCCCCCATCGTTTGGGGAAGGCATGAAGCATTGGTACTGGCTAGCATAGCTGTCCCAGGGAAGCCGGGGAGTCTGAGGAGGAGGGATATGTTACAGCTCTGTGAGCGGTTTAGTTATGTGCATATCTTGATTGTCAATCAAAAGTCTACTTCTCCTTTTAATAAGCTGTTAATAGCACAGTGAGTGAGTCAGTACAGAGACTTGGAAATGTTGAGGTTTGGCAGACTGGAAGGCCAAAGGATATAGCCAATAAGATGAAGGCTATGGTGGGAGCTTGTTCTGATACAGGACTCGGTTGTCAATGCAGTATTTAACTCGAGAGAATTTCTGTATGTAAGCCAATCCCTGAATCAGAGGAAAGTAGAGAATGCATCTAGAAAACACTTCAGTGTTTCTCTTTAAAAGAAAACAAGTGCGAGATGACCTTCCCCTCCATCCCCACGCACATACTGTGGTCTGGTGGGAGTGTTCTCCCTGAACGCTGCGTCATGCTTCCTGTCTTGTTTTCTTGCTCTTCTCAAAGAACGTAAAAGCCTTGTGGAATTTGTTTTCTAATGCCATCCCTAACTGCAGGGGTGAGGAGGCTGCACAAACAAACAGAGGAGAATGTGTAGATCGAAATCCAGAGCTGAGACAGCAGTTCTTGAAGGTACCTGAGCCAGCTTCCAGCTGGTGACTGACGCTGTGTAACTGTCATGGTGCACTTCACCTGCTGAATGCGTATCCAGTCTTTGGCAAGAATGGTGCACTTTGTGTTGCTGTGATTAGACTGCTCCTGGGTTCAGAGCAAGCTCCTTCAGAGCTAAGACAGATAAATCTTCAAGCTGCACTCTTGCTCCTTTTTTGTAAGGTAGATGCATTCCTAGCCATCAGCCTCTTCCTGATGAGATCTCGCCTTCAGTGGGGTGTTGATACCTTATTGGTCTTTGTGTCTTTGGAAATCATCTGGAGTTGTATGGTTTGAGTACAAAAAGCTTATTACACCCAGTGCTACAAATGCTTAGGTTAACCAGAGTGCTAGCTGATTTACTGCTGATGTTGTCCTCTTCACGATTTCTTTTCTGCTGGGATTAATAACAATTAAGAATTTGTTTTGAGCTGTAAAGTGATTCTGGAGTTCTGTGAAAATTTAAATGAAACATAGTACTGGCATATAGGGGTTCTGAAGAACTTCACTCAGTTTTCTAGTAGTCAGCTTTTAAGAAATTTTGGATGCATAGAATAGCCTATTGTAGAAAAAGATGAAGACCTTGTTGTTTAGGCAACTAAAACTAGACCAAATTGCTACAGAAAAGCTAAGAGTGTGTGTGTGTGTGTTAAACTTTTTAGATTCCAAACGGTAACACATTTCCATAGTGAAGTTTGGAAATTTAAAAGATTTTTTTTTTCTAATGACTTTATGTTGATTGCTTCAAGGCATGGTATTGTTGCTAACTGCTCTTCAAATCTCCCTTTTACAAGTTCAGTTTCTGTGTTTATTGTGTGTACCATAGATTTTTGGGATTGCGTGACTTAAAGGTTATGCTGTTTGATCAAAGCATTCTGTGCTCTCTTTTGTCCCCATGCCTCATTAGCTTTAACATACAGCCTTTGCCTATTTTCAGCTATGAAATTCAGGCATGTAAGTGGTAGGGTCATCTCTCTGGCTGCAATGTCTTCCCTTTGGAATCTCATGCTCAGCAAGCAAAGGTGTTCCCAGTTCCACTGACCTCTTCTTGCCACAGTGCATCCTTGAGAAACACAAAAGAGAACCAAAAATGGAACTGACCCCAATATAAAACAATTGCTGTGGGGCATTGGCTCTTTAGTGAGGCAGCACTCGGGACAAATCTGGTCAATGTCCAGAAAACGGCAGAAATGCTTATATTTAGCTCCTTTCTGTAGTTTTTGCTAAATTTAATCTCGTCTTTGTGACAGTGGAGGTCAGTGCTTGCTTTTTATGTAGTAGAGGTTATTCTGGTTACAGCTCAGCGCAGGACAAGTGTCTTTGTTCACTTTATAGATAGAAAATTAACATCTCGGGTTAGTCTGTTGGACAGCTGCACCACTGTGGAGTCACCTCCGCGCTGTACATCATGGAGTTTTCTTTCTCCAAACTTGACTTTGTCAGGCCGCTGAAACAGCCCAGCAGACTGATCTATGGGATAGCAGATCAAACTGAGTCAGCCACCTGGGGCCATTTTCAGGTTTTTTCATATTCTGATCTAAATAATGCTCTGAAAACAGAGGTGGGTGAGGTGGGTGGTAGTGAAAGAGGTTTGTACTTTTGGGGGTGTTTGCTTAACAAATAGAATCCTAGACAAGCCATCACCAAGATTGCTATTGCTTTTTAAGGGTGAACCTGCTCTATCTTTCTGTACAGTCAGCACAGTTTTAATTCTTTCAGAGGGCAAAATCTCCTGGAAGGGCTTTCGACCCTAATGGGAAGCTCTGACCTTTCCCCTTTGGATAGAGTTTCAGTAAGATGCTTAGTTACTTTCTTGCTATGAGCATGGTGTACCTGATAAGGGTGGTGTAATTCCCTTAGAGGAACAAAGGGAGTCGATTTCCCTCTCTGAGACTTTCCTCCCCAAAGTTGGGGCAGGCGAGGGCGTGAATACGGGGGTATTTGGCTGCCTGGTGGGGTGTTTATTTTATATGCACATGTTTATGTTAAATAACGTAGATAGTGGAAGGGCAGGGTATGGGATAGCTGAGTCCTCTTTATCAGAAACCTTAAAAAAGGCTATCTGTGCACTGCTTTCCTGATGCCAGCACAATTTGAGAGATTTAGAAGCTGTATGTATGAAATTGAGAGCAAAAGGTGACTCTTTGTGCTGGCGTTGTACTACAGACAGCACGCCACGTTGCTTCCCGATCTGAATCGTCCAGGAAGAGGAGAGGTCTGCAATGTTACTGGTGTTACTGTTTTGTCTTTGTATTCTCCCCAGCTGTGAAATTGTCTGAAATAAGGGTCTGTCTCTATGCAAATACATACTGGCTTAGTACGCATCTTCCCTTTCTGCAGAATACATACATCCTCTTTTTGTCTGAAAGATAATACTTTTAAGGTTTAAGGATGACTTATTTTGCTGGATGTCAGGATTTTATTCGGAGTCATTTGAATCTTTTCCAGTTGGCCTTAACTGTTTTTTCTTAGTTCTGGTGCATGCATCTTAGGAGTTCTTTACAATTTCTGTACCTTTACACTATTACCCTTTTGCTGTACTCCCCCCAGTGCCTCTTTTGTTGACTAAAGCTAGCTTCATTTAAATTGAAGCCTTGTCTGGTTTGCCTGACTTGGTTTAAAATCGTACCTGATGCTAAACCAGAGCAGACTTGCAGGTGCACAAACCTTGTGTCCTATTCCTTGCGTTCTGCCTGCTGTTTTAACTAGCTGCTTGATAGAATTTTGCAAGTTTTCCTTCAACATGCTTCTGATTTCTTCCCGTCAAAATACAGCTATGAACGGTTTCATTAGCAAGTAGCAGCCTCTGTATGCATGATTATTGTCATATGCTGGTAGGATCTCTCCTGATAGATCCGCCTCTGAATGTAAATTAGATTGCTGTTGTAAAGCACGAAGTGGTATTTGCTTAGAAGCAACAAATTCATGTACTAGGCTTTGTAATAGCTGCCTTTGTTTTTCTGTTCTGTGAATTTAAGGAAGTGGGTTTATCCGGTTTGATGATATTTGATGATAGCTCTACAAACCGAAAGTCACAACACCAAACTCTTGGCCAACGGAAAGAAGCATCACTTCGTCAGAAGCTTTAGTAACAGCAGCTGAGCATCTAGCCCTATTGCTGTATACAGATTTTGGAAGACGTTGTAAATCTAACCTTTGCAGCACAGATATACAAAGCTATATTTAACTTTTCGTGCAAAGCATAAAGTGACCTGATGCAAAAAAAGTCAGACTGATATTGAAGACCTAGTTTACATCATGCTTCTGTCCAGAATAAGTGTTTGATATATCGCAATTTAACATGTATTTCAATTAACTTTGGAAATGCTGTGTGGAATAGATGAATGCGGAATTTGGCTGCTATTGAAGTAACTACATTTAAAAAAGCAAGATAATCTTAAGTTAGCTCTGCAAATACTAATAAGTAGTTGGCTTGGATAATTAATCTGAATTTTAGGGTTGCTTAATTTCTCTTGGCATTTGGAAATCACAAACTGACTTGTGGAATGCCCTTGATTGAAGAAGATGATATTGAAAGCATGTGTGACTGTTTTTGAGGGCAGCAATATTTGAAGAACAAAGTAGCATCTGTATACAAATGGAGATGGACAAGAAGACTTACTGTAAACAGTTAGCATCATTTTTTTGTGATATCATTTGTTTGCCTGCTTTCTATTTTAGGAACAAACATAAGGCTGTAGGGGGGTAGTAAACTTTGTTCTGTGGAAAGATGTTTGTCTGTTGCAAATGATATTTTAAAGCACGATACTGACAAGTTTTAAGTATAAATCTGTTTTTCAGCCTAAAATCAGAATTATTAAGTAGGAGTAGACCTCAGATTCATGGGGTTTATGTTATCTCTCCAGAGTAAAATAAAATGCTGCTGTGAGTTTTCATTTCTTATCCTCTGTTTAAGTAGGTTTGTTTATTAGAAAAATTGCATTTGGTCAAATTGCCAGGATTTTTGAAATGAAATTGGTTCAGAAATGAGGAATGAAGAATGTTGCTGAATTGGTCTCATATTAAAAGATGGACTTCAGCTGATTTAAAAAACCTGTGCTTCAAAAAGGTCTAACTGTAATAATGGAAAATATTAGTAGCACATTCTTTATGGTGATGTGCACTTTGGAAATTTTTTAAGTTATCTCTAAGCTCAGTGAGACTAAACTATTTTTTTTTTTTTTTGATTCATTGCAGGACCAGTTTGACAACTTAGAAAAACACACGCAGTGGGGTATCGATGTTCTGGAAAAATACATCAAGTTTGTAAAAGAAAGAACAGAGATTGAACTCAGCTATGCAAAACAGCTTAGGTAAGTTGAAATATAAAGTTCAGGATTTTGAGCTGTGTACTGTTTAGTCCCTAAATCTATTTAGGCCCATCTGTAAGCTCACAGTTTCTTTCATGGCAATTTGTTTGGTTTGTAAAGATTGCTTTTAGTTGGAAAGTCTCTTTTGTTTACAGAATAGGAAGCTAAAATTAAAGCTACTGTTCTTTTATTACCCCTGATAGCAAATCATGTGCTTGGTAAAAGAAATTTATTTAGGTGACTGAGTAGCGTACTAGGGCTTATTCATGATTTACTTGTGGCTAAGGTTTTGAGGTTTTTTCCATTGTAACTTTTTCCATGAAATTGGGACTGCACAAAGGAGCCAAGGGGTTTAGGAACTCAGCAGAATGTCTAACAGCAAATTATCATTAAAGTTTAGGGTTGCATTCATCAGACAGGCTCTCATTGTACATGTGCTAGAGAAACTGCAGGTCAAAAAGTCTCTGCCCTTGGAAACTTGGTCAATGTAATTAGCCAGATTGCAGCCTATGATTTGATTTTTGACAGCTGTGTAATTTTGCCAGTGTCCTTGTGATGTGTCTACTGAACAGAGCAGAGATCCCGTATATTTAGCTCAAGTAGCTCAATTATTGGAAATTCCTAGTAGGTATTTTCTACTGTTCTGGTTGGGGCCATCAAGCTGGAGGTAAGAGTACAAATAAATCGATTCAGACTCAGAAAACAGACAAATTGAGGTCAGATCCAGTGTAAATGGGGAGGGAGGGGGGAAGAGGAGCTAACCCATGCTCCCATACTGGATAGCTCCTACCCTACTTTCCCAAGTAGGGTGGAAGAAATGGGGCCTGAACAGGAGTTAGGAGAGGCTGCAACATACAGTTCTGCTGTGAGGAGAGGCCATGGTACCATATGGCTGGCAGTTGCTAGTACCATGTTGAGAAGGCAGAAGTGATGGAGGGAATGGATAGTAATTGAGGAGGGCAGTGCAGGGCTAAAGCTTCCTAACACCTCCTGTAAATCCGTACCACCTTCTGCTTGATTGTAATGCACAAAACTCCTCCTTTCTTCCCAGTGTTTATAGAGATTGAGACTTGAGGTTCTGGTTGATTGCTATATACCTAAACACAACGTCCATGGAGGGGGAAAAAACCCCAGAATTTCTGATGCTTATATTAGAGTTGCTTTGAAATGCACAGTGACCTATGATTTACGAAGAGCTGTGGTTATGTGCTTTCTCAGGGGAATGCCCAAGGATTCCCTGGGGGTTTCTGCTATAGACAAGCAGGAAATAGAGGATGAGTTATATAGGAACAAATCGCTCGCATCCTATGGCAATGAGAAGAGACTGAATTACAGAGATAGAGTGAACTGAAAGAGTTTGAGTGGACTGGGAAACTCCAGCAGAGTACCTGTGTGATTTGGTCTATCTAATGAAGCGTATCTTAGACCCACTGAATTTATTGGGATGATGGATTTTAAGTGTGAAGAGTTTAAGGAAAACAAAACAAAAAAAAAATTAAGGAAAGTGGGAGATAACTTCCTGTATCAGGGACTATCCACACTCTGAACTGCTGACTTCTATTCCTTCCATTCAATTTTTCTTCTCTTAGTATTTTAATTCCCCACGCATAATTGCGTTTCTTCCCCGAGCCGTGGGTATGATTTGAGGATGAATACATACACCCCTGAGGAGCCCTTTAATACAGTGGCATTTAGAGCCATGTAAGAAGTTAGAGATATAAATGGAGAAAAAAAAAAAAAAAGGAAACCTGTCAATTGTTGAGGTAAAACTGTCCTGGCCATTAAAAAAAAGAAAAAGTACTTTTAATACATCTTCCCCAGCCTGTGGCAAACCTTTCTTATTTGTATCACATCCATTTAGTGTGAAAGGCCTGCAGCATATCACTGCATGTCATAGCATGCAGACATACTATAAAAAGGGACAAGCTAACACAAGATACTCTGGTGGTGGATTTAACTTAAAGTTTTATTTTTAGTGTAAGAAAAGCTGCTGAACTTCTTAAGTTGCTTGTGTGAAACTTGTGTTTTCTGTTTGGTCTCTGGGCTCCCTAGCTAGCTATTCTTCATCCCTGACTATCAATATCTCAGCCTGCTCATATGTAGGAGCCTAACTGGCTTCTATTTTAAAATGCATCTCTCCTTTGTCTTTATAATTCTGCAGATGTTAATATGCAAGATTTTGTTTACAACTTAGATCTAAGTACTTTCAGGATACATCAGATGTATTCAGTTATACCAGTGGGAGAAACATTCCCTCAGTGTCACTTCCTTATTCAGTGTGCAAGCAAGTCCTGCTTGTACCATTTAAAGTTAGTCCTGATTTGATAGCCCGGTTCAAATTTGTCATACTGTTTTCTTACAAATGGCTTTATGTTGTAGTTGTTGACTTGCTAAACCAGGCTGGGAAGGAAGGGATGCAAAAACTGTGATGCAGCGTTCATTTGTTTCTGCATTTCATTTCCAACTTCAGTTGGATCTGGACGTGTTGGATGCTGTGTTCTGAGTGTTGACGCAGTGTTTCATCGTCCTCCTCCCCTAATCACTTATGATATAGCTTACAAACTCTGAGTGTCAGCAGGCTAGTGTGTCAAAAGCCTGGCCTAATACGAGGCTGACTAGCCTTCACGAAGACATCTTTAAAAGTGCTTAAGACGCTAGGATCATGTGAGACTCGAGAACCTCTGATTGAGAATAAAATGTGGGAGAGGGAGAGATGTGAAAAGTGGAAATGAGGGAGCAGAGAAACAAAGTGGAAAGGCAGGAAAAAATGGTACAGAGCAAAAAGCAAATAGAAACATGAATCAGAAGCAGACAGGTGCATGGGCTAGCGCAGAACCCTCTCAGGGCTATTATTTTATTCCTGATCCTGATTTTCTATATACGTTATAAAGTATATAGAAAATCAGACGTTTAACCCAATTGCTAATCCTTGTCATATGCTTTCTGAATACTTTCTGTGAAAGCATACTGTCTTCTGTAGGGTTTTTAGTTTGTTTGTTTGTTTTTGTTTGTTTGTTTTTGCCTGAACCAAGAGGCGTCCCTATACTTTAGAGGTTCACAAGACTCTAGTAGCTGTGTATGTCAGGATTAATTTGGCAGCATAATATTGGCAATGTAGGGAGTTGTGCATTTTAAGTCTGTGTGTGAAAATGTCTTATTAGTTTAGCTTTTTTGTGCATTTTCTTTTTTTTTTTCCCTTTCCTCTTTAGCAGGTGTGTGCAGGCATTCCTGTGGGGTGTAAAGAAGGCTATAAAACTTACCTTAATCATGCAGAACAGTTTCCAGAATTATTGCCACGCTGATATTCTTTGGTTGAAACTGCTATGTGCAGATCAAGAGAAAAGTTCATTGTTTCAGAGGATGGAATGGACGTGCTTATTTGGAGGCATTCTAGTAGGGATAAATGTTATGAAACACATACCTGTCTTTGCAAATTTGCCAGGATTTTGGCTAGAACTCCATTTGGGCAGATGTTTCTTATTTCCCTTGTGAGAATAAAAGGAATAGGAAAGGTGAGAAGAGGCCCTGCTGTCTCCTTGTTAGCTGTAGAAGCAGCATGCAGTAGGGAGTGGCTTGTATCTCTGAAAAAGCAGTTTCTTTTCAAGGGGACACGTTCTGGGAACCCTCTGAAGCGTTCTGCATAGACAAATCAATGAAACTTCATAGCTCTCCAGACACATTTCACCCCTACCACTTGTATGTTACTTTCAATGATTAAAACAACCTTGTAAAGCTAAAATAAATGTTTCGCAGCAGTGCAACAGAGAGGGGCTGACTGCAGGAAGGCACAGAGCAATAGGGCTGAGTTCAGAGTGTAGGAGATCCTGTTAACTGCAGCATAGAAATGTTCCGTGCTCATTTCACCGGTTATTTCAGTGTCTCCCTTTCTCCCGTTCCCGTTCTACTGCATGCTCATAAGCATCATGCAGGATATTGTTAGTTTACTTACTAGCAGCCTGAAAGAGATTGAGCTAGAAGTATTCTGGCTTCAGGAGAGGTATTGTTCGTGAACCCTGCCACGGGTATATCTGTAGTCTTGTCATCTATATGTAGTAATGATAAGACAAATCATAGCAGACATAGCAACCGCTATCAGGAAAGCGGCCTTGCTCTTGATGAATTTCAGTGTGCTGTGCTTAACAGGAAAAAGTCCACCCAACTTACCTTGCTGCCAGGGACAAGGTAAAAGCTAGATGTGTTGGTTGGCTGTGATGCTGTGGAGAGGATAGTATAGCAGGGATATTGCATGGGGAAGAGTGATTTTGAAAAGTAAATTTTCAGCAGGGAGAAAAGCCTTTGCATTACTGGTACTCGTGGATTTGGGCCTGCAGTTATCTGAACAGAGTTAACAGAGCAGTTGGGCAGAACGTCACACGTGATGCTGTTGCCCGCAGAGGGCAAAAGGACCTGGGTTAGCTATGGGCCCAAGCTGCAGTCTTGCAGAACTTAAGGAGCAGTTCTGTAGCGATCGCCTCTAGCGGTAGAAGAAATTTTAGGGAATATGATTGTTAAATAAAATAGGAACGAAGGTAAAAGTGAGTACTTTTTTGGTTGGGTGGTTTTGGTTTTGAGCTGCAAAATACTCCGTGGCCAGATTTTGCTTTTGTTTGCAGTAGTGTTGATGAATGTGACCTCATTAATTTCAGTAGGTAAGCGTGACTGCAAATGATAACACAGCTGGCCCGACTAATTTTGACATAAGCTGTTTCTGTAGGAAGTGGCTAAGAGAGCGGAGACAAAGTGGGCCAGTTTCCTCACTGCATTTTACTATTGAAAACCTGTAGGGTAAGAGCAGCAACAGCCAGTCACTTGAGGAGAACTTACTGAAAGTTAGTCACAGTTTCTCCTTAAATTTGGTGCATTTCATACCTTGGATTTCAGTCTCCTGTATTGAAAATGCACGTTTTCCTCTTAAATGTAAACATTTCAGTCAAGACCACTCAACAGATGGCATATTTCATAATCTCTTTCATTAAGAAATATATGAATAGCTACAGTAAAATTTCTGTCCTAACTTACTGATTATTGTCCCCAAATAAAAGAGGGGATGAGTATAAACTTGTAGAAGTTAAATTGATTCTGACTGATATCCTTGGTTAGAGCTGAACTCTGCCCTTAAGTAAAGGCGCAAGTAGGTAAAGAAAAGAAAAACGTTTTTATTATAGGAACTATAGCTGTTTATTTCTGTGGAACTGATGGGGCAATGCTCCTGATTTGTCAAGTGATCTCTTTAACTTGTATTTTACCTACAGTTCCACGCTGGTTTCCTGAAGAATTGCCAAATGAGATTTATGTCAACTTTCTGGTTTGCATTATGTAAAAGATGCGTGGTGTTACACTGTGCTACACTGCAAGCATACGTCATAATTTTGAGTGTTAAGTATGAGCAAAGTTCATTGCGGGTCTGCTGGACAGGACATGTCCATTAAATCCTCAATTTGCCACTGGTTAGGTGTTTGCTTTCCTCTTTCTTAAGAAGAGTAACTACTATGTAACAATGGTCGGATGTGCTGAGTTATGTTCAACTTCCCTATTCAAGATAAGGTCAGTTGAAAAACATATCAGCACTTTAAAATGGAATCATTAGTTTGATATGCAGTAGTAAGAAGTAGTCATTTGTGCTAATTGAGATAATCAAATTTAACGTTTCTCCCAGAATTAGTAGATGATCAGAAAATGATCCCGTTTCACTAACCCAGTGCAGCTTCCCACAGCTTTGCCAAGACTGTGCCTCTTGCTTGGAAGTACCCTGCAAAAGGCAGCCAAACTTCATGAGTGTCGTCTGCTGCAGCAAGTCACCCTTCACTGAGCTGGCTGGCCTTTGCATATGGAGCAGCATCTTCTGCCGGGTGGAGTTTGTACAGCTTCTCTATGTGCCGAAGACCTAGTACTGATAAGGATTGTAAAAGGGTCTCTGTCTTAGACCAGGTAGAAGGGACTTGGGGCATCAGGAGGACTGGAACTCAGGTTTAATGATTTTATAGCCTTACTTTATGAACTGTTCAGCTTCAGAATCTGTTACTTTATTGCGGTTACACAAACTGAAACACAGTGGGACCTGGTGCTCTGGGTGCTACTACAACATAAATGAAAACCTAATCATGCTGAAAAATCATACTTCTGACAAGGTGTTGGTCACTTGAAATAAAACTGAGGCCTCACAGTATCTGAAAGTATGTGCATGCAAAGACTGTCCAGTTATCTTGTGGGAGATTTCTTTTTAATTATACGTATGTGTGTGTTTTTAATTATAGGAACCTCTCAAAGAAATATCAGCCCAAAAAGAACTCCAAAGAGGAGGAAGAATACAGGTATGTTCATGACCTACCACTAGGTGAGCCTGCATTGATGGAGGAAGGGGAAAAGGTTAGGTCACCAACTAGGATTTGATAATTCATAAGGATGTAAAAGAAATCATACATGCAGAAGTGGGCTTATAAGGTAGACATTAAGGAATGGATTTTTGGAGAAGTTTGGATTTGGTCTGTTAAGTACTGTTTTCTCTAAATGTCAGGGTTGCTAGAAGCATGGGGGATTTTTTTAGGTACCCTAAAAAATTTCCAGCCAGACTAGATCATCCTGATTCTTTGGAGTGGAA